TTTACAGCATCCGCAATTCTTTCGGTTTTTACGAACTACTGAGCCACCGTGCTGCCCTCTAAGGTCTCTCTGCGATCGCTTGCTATGCAACTGCAACCAGTAAAGGGCAGCTTCCCTGTGGGGTTTAAAGAGTTCCACATACCTCAAAGTTTTACACTGAGGAAATACTGCGTTTGCAGAGTAAATTAAAGGCATAATTACCCCATTGATTTGGCTGCAGTTTTTTCTTTGCAATCACTGAGATCCTGAGTTCCAGCAATATAAATAAATAATGGCAGGCATTAAATGTTAAAGGAAAACAGATGTGTACTTGTATGCAGTGGTAAGTAATAAACTTTGGACATTCTTTTCCAAAGGTGTGCTGTGAATGCTTTGAAAGGACCAAGTTATTTTGCTCACAGATTTCTCTTCGTCTGGTTTCTCCTTCGTTTCACTTCTTAGTAACTTTCTTGCTTCAAAATATTCAAGCCGTTTAACTTCTCTTTCAAAGTAAGCTTCAATGTTAGATTTCTGGGGACAAAGAGGGATGAATTTTTTCAGTGGTGATTTCTTTGAATCGTTAGGAGCCTTTCAAACAAGTAGATTTCCTACTCTTTTTGTCTCCCAACTTTTTGCAATCTGTTCTCATGGAAAATGCTTCATAATAGCCTCAGGTTCCTTCTTTTTATCGGGACTGAGAGGCTGTGCTTTCCTTGTAGTGTGGTCAATCAGGGAAGAGAATATAGCCCTGAGCTCAGTGCTTCACCCAATGTCAGAATGTCAGACTGGGCAGACTGGCCAAAATTTGCTCTTTCACCCTATTTCTTTCCCAGAGGGAGTTCTGATCTTTAGCGGCTTTAAAGGTATATTCATCTGGCAACAGAGCTGCTCTCTCATTAGAGAGAGAGAGAGAGATGACTGGTGAGGGTTTAACCTGAAGGTCACCACGCCTCAGGCGAGGGGGAGAGGTTGAGAAGGGGAGTCCTTCCTGGTGACCTCAACAGGTGCAGGAATTGAACCTACAGAGTTTAAAAAAATCACAAACCAGCCATCTGGTCAGCTGAGCGAAATAGCTCCACCAGCTTTAACAACTTTAATAAGGACATAAAGACTAGGAACAGGAGTAGGCCATTCAGCCCCTTGATCTGCTTTATCATGGCTGATTTTATCTCAGATTCAACTTCACTTTCCTGCCCACTCCCATAACCCTTTAACCCATTACTAATTTAAAATCTATCTTCCCATTTATAAGAACTAATTATTCCTTCACCAAATATTTCAGATCAGTCCATTCCAGTTCCTCATTTTATAGCCTAAACACACAATTTGCCGGGCTCAGTAGGTTGAATAGACATGTAATTTGTTAGCTAGAAATGGTGATGCTTGGGTTGCTGGCAAATACAAAGGAAAATACATACAAAGGTACTAATCCTGCACCTACCCCCATCCATCTCTGGCCTCCCTCTTCCTGCTCCCGCCAGGTACAGATCAATATTAATTGATATTCCTCTCTATCCCACTGAAGGGATTATATTTCACCTGGGAGTCAGGCTAGTGAGGGTCAGGAGGTGACACAGTGGCATCATTGTTGATCACAAGTCTGTCCCCATCATATTCCGTCCACACTTTCCTGCCTGGGTCTGTAGCTGTGACTCTGTTGCAGTGTGAAAGATGAGAACTCAAGCTCCAATTCAGTCTAGAATCTAGGTAACAGTCCCAGAGCAGTGAAGGAGTGCTGCACTGTTGGACATTTCAGGGGAGATTGTGCCATGACATTAATGCCACCACCAGACTAAGTCACACAGCAGCCTAAGGGAATGCTCTGGAGAGCTAGGTTCAAATCCCCGCACTGCTAGATGGTGGAATTCAGTTGGAAAAATTTGGAATTGAAATTTAGCATCTATCGTCGCCTGGTTCACTGATATCCTATAGGGAAGGAAATCTGTCATCCTTAATAAAAACTGTGGGGGATTTCTGAGGAAGGGTCACCAGACCCGAAACGTTGACTCTGATTTCTCTCCACAGATGCTACCGGACTTACTGAGCTTTTGCAGCAATTTCTGTTTTTTTGTTTTTTTATGATATGGAGGTGCTGGTGTTGGACTGGGGTGGACAAGGTCAGAAATCACCAGGTTATAGTCCAACAGGTTTATTTGAAATCACAAGCTTTTGGAGCGCGGCTTCTTCCTCACCTGATGAAGGGGCACCGCTCTAAAAGCTTGTGATTTCAAATAAACCTGTTGGACGACATCCTGGTGTCGTGTGACTTCTGACTTTCAGTTTTTAATTTGTCATCCTTACTTGGTCTAGCCTACATGTGACTCCAGGCCAACAACAATGTGGTTGATCCTTAACTACCCTCAGTTCAAGGGCAATTAGGGATAGGCAGCACTATCACGTTGCTATTGTGGGAGGCACAAAGTGGCTGGGATGTTTCTTACTGTGTAAGAATGAATGCCCCTCAGGAAACATTATCTTCATAATGTATTAAGGTAAACTCACCAGAGTCCCACGGGGCTGCTCTCTCATTTAAGAGAGAGAGAGAGCGACAACTGGTGGGGGTTTAACCTGAGGGGCACCACGCCTCAGGTGAGGGGAGAGGTTGAGAAAACGTTCCCTTTATGGTAATCAATGATAATAATGCTGTAAAGCAGTTTGGAATAGAATGGAGTTGTGAAAGTATTTCACATAATTATAACAAAGGAAAAGTACCTGTGGATGCTGGAGTTCTAAGATGGACAGAGAGAATGTTGGAGAAACTCAGCAGGTCAGTCAACATATGTGGACAGAGAAACAGAATTAATGCTTCTAGTCCAGTGACCCTTGTTCAGAAGGTGCTATATAAATATAAATCCTCCTTTGTAGGACTAGAACTTGGCTACTGGTGATAATAACTACATCTAACTACAGTGGAGCAGGCTGAACTCCTTGTGGTTTTTTTTATTGTGTAGGTGTTGGGTTACAACCAGTGTGGATAACTCCATCAGACTGCACAACCTTAACACAGCCTCATTCCACCGAGACAAAGCAGGTTCACATGAGCAATGGGGAATGCTTCAGGGGACAGATCAATTACTTGCAAAAACTTGTATTTGTTTTCAATCAAAATATGGCAATGCGATAATAGTAATAAGATCCCTTTACTGACCTCTTGATTTAGTGGATGTCGTAAAGCCCAGGGCACCTCCAGAATGTGCAACGTACCAAAGTCATCAGATACAGCCACTAAGTGTTGTCTTACTAATGAAAAACACAGATTAGGTTTGGCGGTGGCGGTGAGGGGGAAGGAAACGTGCAAATATTCCAACCATTGACTATAACCGACGATAACCTCAGTGTAATTAAAGTATTGAGATTGCATTTCACTGGTTTGTAGGTTAAAGCATTGAACTCTGTGTAGTTTTAAGTTCTGGCACGTGCTGGAAACAGGTCTAGCTAACCTTGAGCACAGTGATCAGATTACAGGGCCAACGTGTTCTAAGATCACAACATGCCTTCGGGCTACAGGCTCAGAGCCAATCATCCAGTCAACTGGTTGACTCTTACTTCTTTTGTCATTTCGGAGTTGTTTTGAGCTTTTTGAAGGGTTTCTTGTTGTGCGTTCTCAGTGAGTTCCCTTGATGTAACTTACGAAACTCCCCCTGTTAACCACCTACCCCGCTCCCTGTGGCATCCCTCATCTCCGATTTCAGTACCACGCTCTGTTCCTGGAAAAACTCACCACTAAGTGATGTCTGTACCATCTTTAAAAGAGCATTATGCCAACGGGTGGGCACTGGAATTCAGAAACTGCCCTCCTTAGTCAAGGACATTTCCAGTCGAAGGGGGAAATGGCACCGTCATTCTCCAACAGGGAGGTCCTGGTCGAATGGGTGGTGCTGAGGAGGGGCATCATGCCACTAGACCCTGGTTGCTTTATCCAGTCAGTCAGTGCCATCACCACAGTGAAGAGGAATGGGCAGGCGTGCTGTGAGAAAGTCAATGACCTTCTCCACTCTACCAGGCTGAGTGCTCTCTCTCACCACTTCACCAATGGCCTAGCGATATTGTCACTGGGCTGTTAATCCAGACACCCAGATAATGTTCTGGGGACTTGGGTTCGAATCCCACCATGGCAGATGGTGGGGTTTGAATTCAATAATTACCTGGAATTAAGAGTCTAATGATGACCATGAATCCATTGTCAATTGTTGGAAAAACACATCTGGTTCACTAATGCCCTTTTGGGAAGGAAGCTGCCATCTTTACCTGGTCTGGCCTACATGTGACTCCAGACCCACAACAATGTAGTTGACTCTTAAATGCCCTCTGGGCAATTAGGGATGGGCAATAAATGCTGCCTAATCAGCAATACCTTCATCCCATGAATTAATAGAATAAAGGACACCCATTCCATCTCTGACATTGCACCCAGCTCCCACCAGGGCTCTCCCACTCTCACTATTATCCTGCAACATCTTCCCTCACACTGTCACCGATCCCAAACTCGATGTGCCCTCTGTGCTGCCCACTGCCCCCACCGGACTCCCCCCGACTCCCTTGGGAAACCTCTCCACCTTCACCAGCACTAACAACTGTGAAACCTGCACCCCCTACCGGCTACCCACATACTGTCACCTCAGTGCCAATGTCAACCATAGTGAGGCTGGAAACACCTCATCATGACAGCTCCACACTTGGCAGAGGGACAAACAGCCCAGGACAGAGGAGACCAGGTACCTGCTCAGCCCCAGGGAGGGGAGGACCCTGTGGTGTCAGCAACTGGGGACTCTGTGTTCATTCACACACTGGGAGGACCAGGACCAGGATGTGGGATATCATCACCCTCATTGGCCAGAAGCTGCAGCAGTGCAGCACGTCACGTGACACTCCAGCTGCCTCCATGGACAGGAGAGCAACTGCGCAGAAGCCAGGCCCAGAGCATCAGGGTCTGCTGGGTTAGAGCACAGCTACCTGAACCCCATCGCCCCAGCCATTGGTACTCAGGACCAAAGCTATGATGACAGGGGGATGGTGCTCACTCTAAGTGCTCCTCAGCATGGGGAGACAGTGAGCGGTGGGGTTGCTAGGTGGCCCCCAGCAGAAGAAGGACCACACACACACAGGCCCCTCAGAAATCCCTCTCAGAACACTCAACAAGTGGCCGAGCCTTCACCTCCACCCGGCCTGACCCCTGGAAGTTCACACTGAGAAAAGTCAACCCTTGGCACATCTGACCCATTGAGACACAAACACTCCTGGGGTCACCTGACCAAGCTTCCAGGACCAACAGGTACCCTCTCCCCTCCGGCTACACAACCAGGGAGTACATTAAGGCAAAGTGCAAGGGAGAGAAAGCAGAAAACTTCTTAAGTGCACTTTGGTAGCACAAGGTTACAATGCACTTACATTCTTTTATATTTATTTATAAACTACACTGCTTTCATCTTGCGGCTGTTTGTCTGCCTCTCTGAGTAGCCCTGAATGTCATTGTTCCAGCATCAGGCACCACTTCATGACCCTCAGAATGTGCCATGGATTGATGTTGGTGAGGAGGGCCTGCTGCAGCATCTCAAAGCAAGAGGGACAAGGTGTATAGAGACCATCACACTCCTGACTTATGCCTTGTAGATGGTGGACAGGCTTTAGGGAGTCAGCAAATGGATTATTTGCTGCAATTTTCCTATTGTCTAATCTGGTTGTGTCGCCATTGTGTTAATGTGGTGAGTCCAGTTCAGTTTCTGGTCAATGGTAACCCCCAGGTTGTTAATAGTTGGGGGTGGGGGGGGGGGGGGTGCTGGGGGGGGGGGAAGGTTCAGTGATGGTAACACCATTGAATGTCATGGGGCAGTGGTTAGATTGTCTTTTATTGGCGATGGTCATTGCCTGGCATTTATGTGGCAAGAACATTACTTTTGACTTGTCAGCCCGAGACTGCATATTGTCCAGATCATGTTGCGTTTGGACATGGACTGCTTCAGTATCTGAGGAGTCACGGATGGTGCTGAACATTGTGTGATCATCAGAAAACACCCCCATTTCTGACCTTATGATGGAGGGAAGATCATTGATGAAGCAGCTGAAGATGGTTGGGCCTAGGACACTACCCAGAGGAACTCCTGCAGAGATGTCCTGGAACTGAGATGACTGACCTCCAACAACCACAACCATCTTCCTATGTATCAGGTATAACACCAACCACCGGAGAGTTTGCCCCCTGATACCCAATGATTCCAGTTTTGCCAGGGCTCCTTGATGCCACACTCGGTTGAATGCAGCCTTGATATCAAGGGCTGTCACTCTCACCTCACCTCTGGAATTCAGCTCTTTTGTCCATGTTTGAACCAAGGCTGTAGTGATGTCAGGAGCTGAGTGGCCCTGGCAGAACCCAAACTGGGCGTCACTGAGCAGGTTATTGCTGAGCAGGTGCTGCTTGATAGCGCTGTTAGTGACACCTTCCAGCACCTTCCAACATAAGCTGCTTTTGTTCACATAATATCCAGACACAAGTTTTGACCACGCTATGTTGGTTTGCTGTTTCCTGCCAAAACAATACATACTTGAGACAATCCAGGGCTTGATGCAACTTATTGCAATGGAAGAAATATTCTGCGTCTGTGAGGGCTCGTGAGTCTTTTCAAGTAAATCCCAAATGTCAATGTTGCCATCTTCCTTTCCGATGATAATGACCCCTGGTCTGGTGAGTGACCAGTGACCAGTTGTGCAGCGTTTTGTCGCACAGGCTGAATGGAGGAGGGGTCCCAGCTGAACAGGAACAGGAGAACAAACCAGGTTACATGCACAACCACCACTAGCACGAATGTACAGCCCAGACTCAACACTGCCATATACATTAACTCACCCATTTCAAATCCAGTCACAAAGCACGGGTTCACCTGCTGCTTAACCCTCAGCCATTCTTTTGTTATCTTTGGGTCAAAGATTCCAATAGTGCCCTAGCTGGAATCCCATCTCCCAGCCTCCATACACTTGAACACATCTAACACACTGTTACCTGGACTCTAACCCAGTCCTGTCAACAGAGAATCACAGAATTGTTATTGTGCAGAAGGAGGCCATTCAGCCACTGTATCTCTACTAGCTCTCTGAACATTTTAACTCAAAGCCAACTCTCCCAGGCCTTTTCTCCATGACCCTGCATGTTGTTTCTATTTAAATAACCATCCAATACCCTCTGGATTGTTACAATTGGACCTGGCAGTTTCCAGGCAGTGCATTCCAGATCCGAACTATTCACTGTGTGAAGAAACCTTTTCTAATCTTGCATTTGTTTCTTTTGCAAAAATACTTAAAATCTGCTCTCTCCTGGTTCTTAATCTTTTTACAAACGGGAACAGCTTCTCCCTAACTACTCTATACAGCCCACTCATGGTTTTAAAACCCCCATCAGATCCCCAAGGAGAACGGTCCGAACTTCTCCAATTCAACTTCACAACTGAAGTTTCTCAGCCATGGAACTATTCATGTAAACTTCTCCTGCACTCTCCCCAATACATTCACATCTTTCCTATAATGCAGGGTCACTCTCTGACCTTGCACAGGCGTCACTCTCTGACCTAAGTGGACCATGGTAATAATAGGGACTCACACAAGTTTTAAAATAGAACATAGAACATAGAACATAGAACATTACAGTGCAGTACAGGCCCTTCGGCCCTCGATGTTGTGCCGACCTGTGAAACCAATCTGAAGCCCATCTAGCCTAAACTATTCCATTATCATCCATATGTTTATCCAATGACCATTTAAATGCCCTTAAATTTGGCGAGTCCACTACTTTTGCAGGCAGGGCATTCCACGCCCTTACTACTCTCTGAGTAAAGAACCTACCTCTGACATCTGTCCTATATCTATCACCCCTCAATTTAAAGCTACGTCCCCTTGTGCTAGCCATCACCATCCAAGGAAAAAGGCTCCCACTGTCCACCCTATCTAATCCTCTGATCATCTTGTATGTCTCTATTAAGTCACCTCTTAACCTTCTTCTCTCTCACCAAAACAGCCTCAAGTCCCTCAGCCTTTCCTCATAAGACCTTCACTCCATACCAGGCAACATCCAGGTAAATCTCCTCTGCACCCTTTCCAATGCTTCCACATCCTTCCAATAATGTGGTGACCAGAACTGTACGCAATACTCCAAGTGCGGCCGCACCAGAGTTTTGTACAGCTACAACATGACCTCATGGCTCCGAAACTCAATCCCTCTACCAATAAAACCTAACACACCGTACGCCTTCTTAACAACCCTATCAACCTGGGTGGCAACTTTCAGGGATCTATGCACATGGACACCGAGATCTCTCTGCTCATCCACACTACCAAGAATCTTAGCCCAGTACTCTGTATTCCTGTTACTCCTTCCAAAGTGAATCACCTCACACTTTTCCGCATTAAACTCCATTTGCCACCTCTCAGCCCAGCTCTGCAGCTTATCTATGTCCCTCTGTAACCTGCAACATCCTTCCGCACTATCCACAACTCCACCAACTTTGGTGTCATCCGCAAATTTACTAACCCATCCTTCTACGCCCTCATCCAGGTCATTTATAAAAATGACAAACAGCAGTGGCCCCAAAACAGATCCCTGAGGTACACCACTAGTAACTGAACTCCAGGATGAACATTTCCCATCAACCACCACCCTCTGTCTTCTTACAGCTAGCCAATTTCTGATCCAAACCGCTAAATCACCCTCAATCCCATGCCTCCGTATTTTCTGCAATAGCCTACCATGGGGAACCTTATCAAACGCTTTACTGAAATCCATATACACCACAGCAACCGCTTTACCCTCACCCACCTGTTTGGTCACCTTCTCAAAGAACTCAATAAGGTTTGTGAGGCACAACCTACCCTTCACAAAACCGTGTTGACTATCCCTAATCAAATTATTCCTTTCTAGATGATTATAAATCCTATCTCTTATAATCCTTTCCAACACTTTACCCACAACTGAAGTAAGGCTCACTGGTCTATAATTACCAGGGTTGTCTCTACTCCCCTTCTTGACAAGGTGACAACATTTGCTAGTCTCCAGTCTTCTGGCACTATTCCTGTGCTTCCTTTTTCGCGACTCAGAGACCCCACCTTCCACCCCATCCCCAACACACCAGAAGCCCTCCACATGTTCAGTGATACCACTGAATGGAGATTATAACAATTCCTACCATTTGCTTGGAGCTACTTTGAGAGCACTCTTTACCACATTGGCTCTACTCGTAGGCTTTCCAACTGTATCTAAACATCATCGCGTGCCACACGAGTTGAGATTAATTAGTGACTAAACTCCAGTTTGATCAAGTTCCACATTGGCAGAGAATGGAGGTTTTCATATGTTTGGTTCCGATGCAGATCCCAGTGATGAAAGAGTGGTTTTGTAAGTCTGTGAGGCACCTCAAGCACTGAAATTCGATACACTTTCAATCGTGTCTCTGTGAACTGGTGATTGATGTTGATGACTTTAGCAAGTTCTACTCTGGGTAGGAACCTTCTCAAGAGAAAATGGTGACATGGAGTCATAGGGGCCAACATTGAAACCAAAAGGATGTCGAATTCCTCCTAGTGCTACACACCTTGGAGAAAAACGTCTTTAACATCACTTCAATACAATCCCAGTTTAAAAATGCAGGAACAATAACTATCAAGTCAGCATAGTTTCAATAAACACAATGTTAGATTGAATCATAGCTGACCACACAGATGCAGGCCAGTCACTCCATCATGTGTGTGTCCAATTTTCACAATGGCAATTTAACTCCCTACTTTCCCTTGCCTTTTCCCTGCCACTCTCTAAGATTCTAAGACATAGAATCCCTACAGTGTGGAAGCAGGCCATCAAGTCCACATAGACCCTCTGAAGACCATCCCACTCACACCCACCCCTGTCCCAGTAACCCCATGGTCAATCCACCCTAACCTGCACATCTTTGGACTGTGGGAGGGAACTGGAGCACCCAGAGGAAACCCATGCAGACACGGGGAGAACATGCAAACTGCACACTGACAGTCACCCGAGGCAGGTATTGAATCTGGGTCCCTGGTTCTGTGAGGCAGCAGTGCTAATCACTGAGTTACTGAACCATACGGCCATAAGGAGCAGACATAAGCTGGTCTGAAAATTTGCAGGGTTACCATGAAAAGGCAGCAGAATAGCACCAAGTCATGATGCTCATTCAGAAAGGCAGAGCACATATGATGAGCAAGGTCAGAAATCACACAACACCAGGTTATAGTCCAACAGGTTTATTTGGCAGATGGAATTCAACCCAGAAAAGTATGAAGCGATTCATTTTGGAAGGTCGAATTTGAATGCAGAATACAGGGCTAATGGCAGGATTCTCAACAGTGTGGAGGAACAGAGGGATCTTGGGGTCCATGTCCATAGATCCCTCAAAGTTGCTACCCAAGTTGATAGGGTTGTAAAGAAGGCGTATTTTGTGTTGGCTTTCATTGGTAGGAGAATTGAGTTTAAGACCCGTGAGGTTATCCAGCAGCTCTATAAAACTCTGGTTAGACCACACTTGGAATATTGTGTTCAGTTCTGGTCACCTCATTATAGGAAGGATGTGGAAGCTTTAGAGAAGGTGCAGAGGAGATTTACCAGGATGCTGCCTGGACTGGAGGGCAGGTCTTATGAGGAAAGGTTGAGGGAGGTAGGGCTTTTTTCATTGGAGTGAAGAAGGATGAGAGGTGACTTGATAGAGGTGTATAAGATGATGAGAGGCATAGATAGAGTGGATAGTCAGAGACATTTTCCCAAGGCGGAAATGATTATTCCGAGGGGGCATAATTTTAAGGTGATTGGAGGAAGGTATAGGGGAGATGTCAGAGGTAGGGTCTTTACACAGAGAGTGGTGGACGTGTGGAATGTGCTCCCGGCGGTGGTAGTGGACTCAGATACTTTAGAGACATTTAAGCAACTCTTGGATAGGCACATGGAGGATAGTAAAATGTAGAGTATGCAGGGTAGATTGATCTTAGTAGGATAATAGGTCGGCACAACATTGTGGGCCGAAGGGCCTGTACTGTGCTGTACTGTTCTATGTTCTCTATGTTCTGTTCTATGAAAACACAAGCTTTCAGAGGCTTACTTCTTCTTCAGGTGTTAGTGAGAGAGGTAGTATCAGACACAGAATTTATTAGTAAAAGATCAAAGAGTCATACCACTGCGGAGGATGTACTAAACAAACTTGTTAAATGCTGTTAAATCTTTAATCAGTTCGAAGTTTTTAACTGATTGATATGTATATGGAAATCCCTGAATTCCTTTCCAGTCACGGTCCCGAGAGAACTAAGGGTTTTGTCAGTGTAAAGAAGAGGTGCCATTTTAGGTCAGATAATGCATGTTAGGTGTGAGGTCTTGTTTAGAATCTGTTTGTGTTTTGGTTTGGAGTCAGACTGATTTTATTTCTAAAGTACGAATTTATAAAACACCACATTGACTGACAGGGGATGGGGAGAGAGCATCAGAGAGAGAGAGAGAGAGAGTGAGTGAGAGAGTGAGAGAGTGTGTGTGTGTCTACATATCTGCATTGTATGTATAGTGTCTATATGCAGTGTGTATTTATAAGTATGTATATGTGTGTGTATATGCGTTGGGGTAGATGTATGGGCCTGCAGGAAGTGGTTTATGTAAAGGAGGGTGGTTATATGTGGTGTTTTTTAATATTTATTTTAATGTATCACTGACTGGGCTACCACTTATTGCCCACCCCTCACTGTTTTTGAGAAGAATGTGATGGTGAGCTGTCTTCCTGAAACACTTCTCATTAGGAGGACACCCATAATGCTGTTAGGGAGGGAATTTCAGGATTTTGACCCAGTGACACTGAAGGAGTGGCGATATATTTCCAAATCAGAATAGTGAGTGGCTTGAAGATATACCTTCAGGTACCTGCTGCCTTTGTCCTTCTAGAGATTTCCTGCTATGGTAGAATTTATGGGTTTGGAAGATGCTAGCCAAGTGATGTGTGAGTGTGGAGATGTCAGCGGACATGGAGGGTGGATATTGTGTTCTCAACAAGCAAAGAATTTGGTGACACTCTCTGACCCTGCTCGCACAATAAGAATGATCATCAATATAGGAGGTGGCTGTGGGACTGTGCCCTTCAGAGTTACATGGGTGGAGATTATCACAGGAAGTGATTAAAGTTGGGTGCATTCTTAACACTGGGAAACCAGTTTTCAACTCATGAGCAAAGAAACCGAAATGGGAATTACTCACTGTGACATTTTCTCTCCAAATCGCAAACGTCCAACCTCCTACAGTCAAAATAATATCTCGGAAGAATGGTGACCTTTGCACTGTGTTTACAGGGCCATCATGTACTGCATAGCAATGAGTTGGTCTTGGAGCTGTAATATTGACATATATCAAATGCTAAATATAGGTATGATATAAAGAAATCCAAATTTTCAAAGGAAAAATGCATTGAGTGCAATGTGGGAGTTTTAGCTCCAATATTTGGCAAGTTCAATATGTCTCAATAAAAACAAAACATTGCTGATGTTGGAAATCTGAAACAAACGGTGAATGCTGTAGAAACTCAACAGTGCTGACAGCATATGTGAGAGAGAGAAACAGAGTTAACATTCCGAGTCTTTTATGACTCTTCTTCAGTATTGCTGACAAACCTTTACAAACAAATTCACTCCATCTTAAAAAAAACTGATTTTAACTTTTAATGATCAGACACATATGGCTTAAAGGAGTTGGATGGAATTTTGATGAAACAACATGTGTCTATTAGTACTTTTGTCTTTATTCTTCCAGGAGATGTGTGTGTGTATCACTGGCAGGGCCAATATTTGCTGCCTAATTCTATTGCTCCTGGAATGGAATGGCTTGCAAGACCTTTTCAGAGAGCAATTAAGAGTCTATCCTGCAGGTCTGGACTGAGATGTAGGCCAGATCAGGAAAGGATGGCAGTTTCCTTCCCTAAAAGGTATTAGTGAACCAGATGGGTTTTTACTACAATCAATGATTGGTCACCATCAGAGAGACTAGGTCTTTATTCCAGATTTTTTCAAAGGTGTTTAAATACCAGCCGCTGCTGTGGTGGGATCTGAACCCATGTCCACAGAGTATTAACTTTGGTTTCTTGATGATGAGTCCAGTGACAAAAACCAATGTTGTGTTAAGACCATAAGATATGGGATAAGAATTAGGCCATTTGACTCATCGAGTTTGCTCCACCATTCGACCGTGGCTGATATGTTTCTCAACCCCATTCTCTTGCCTTCTCCTGTAGCCCTTGATCCTTTTAGCAATGAAGAACCTATCTACCTCAGTCTTAAACTTTTCCATTACAGAAACTTGGGTAACTCAAGGAGAGGAATGGTTGTTGGAAGTTCCGGGATTTAGATGCTTTAAAAGAAATAGGGAGGGTGGAAAAACAGGTGGGGGAGTGGCATCACTAGTCAGGGCGAGTGTAGCAGCTACTGAAAGGCAGTTCGAGAATGATATGTCTACAGAGTCAGTTTGGGTTGAGGTCAGGAACCAGAAAGGAGCAATCACTTTGTTGGGGTTTTTTTACAGACCCCCTAATAGTTGCAGAGAAGTAAAGGAGCGGATTGGGAGGCAGATACTGGAAAGGTGCAGAAGTCACAGGGTTGTAGTCATGGGTGACTTCAACTTTCCAAATATTGATTGGAAACATTTTAGTTGTAACAGTTTAGATGGAGCAGACTTTGTCCAGTGCGTTCAGGAAGGATTCCTGACACAGTACGTAGATAGACCAACACGAGGAGAGGCCACTTTGGATTTGGTGCTTGGCAACGAACTGGGCCAAGTGTTAGACCTGTTGGTAGGAGTGCATTTAGGCGGTAGAGATCATAACTCTGTTTCTTTCATGATAGTCATGGATAAGGATAGGTACTTACAGCAGGGTAAAGTTTACAATTGGGGGAAGGGTAATTACAATGCAGTTAGGCAAGAATTGGGTAACATAAATTGGGAACAGGTGCTGTCAGGGAAGAGCACCATAGAAATGTGGAGATTGTTTAAGGAATGCATACTGCATGTGCTCGATATGTTTGTCCCGAGCAGGCAGAGAAGATGCGGTCGAGTGAGGGAGCCATGGTTCTCGAGAGAGGTCAACCGACTGGTTAAGAGGAAGAAGGAGGCTTATGTAAGGTTTAGGAAAAGAGGAACGGAAAAGGCTCTAGAGGGATACAAGTTAGCCAAGAAGGAGCTGAAGAAAGGGCTGAGGAGAGCTGTAAGGGGCCATGAGAAAACCTTGGCGGATAGGATCAAGGAAAACTCCAAGGCTTTTTACACGTATGTGCAGAACAAGAGAATGACCAGAGAAAGGGTAGGGCTGATCAAGGATTGTAAAGGGAATTTGTGCACAGAGCCTAAAGAGATTGGAGAGGTACTTAATGAATACTTTTCTTCAGTATTCACAACTGAGAGGGACCTAGTTGTAGAGGAGGACATTGTGAAACAGGCAGGTAGGCTAGAGGAGGTGGACGTTAGTAAAGAAGATGTGCTAGGAATTCTGAGGAAGTTGAAGATAGATAAGTCCCCCGGGCCTGATGGGATTTATCCAAGGATTCTATGGGAAGCGAGGAATGAGATCGCAGGGCCTTTGGCGATGATCTTTTCATCCTCACTGTCCACAGGTATGGTGCTGGAAGATTGGAAAGAGGCAAACGTCATTCCCTTGTTCAAAAAAGGGATCAGAGATAACCCCGGAAATTACAGGCCAGTTAGTCTTACGTCAGTGGTGGACAAATTATTGGAAAGGGCTCTGAGACACAGGATTTATGATCACTTGGATAGACACAGTTTGATTCGTGATAGTCAGCATGGATTTGTGAGGGGTAGATCGTGCCTCACAAACCTTACTGAATTCTTTGAAGAGGTGACCAAACACGTGGATGAAGGTGAAGCAGTGGATGTGGTATACATGGATTTAAGTAAGGCGTTTGATAAGGTTCCCCATGGTAGGCTCATGCAGAAGGTAAGGAGGCATGGGATTGGGGGAAATGTAGCAGATTGGATTCAGAATTGGCTGATGCTTAGAAGACAAAGGGTGGTAGTGGACAGAAAATATTCAACATCACGCTCAGTTACGAGTGGTGTACCGCAAGGATCTGTCCTGGGTCCTCTTCTATTTGTGATTTTTGTAAATGATTTGGATGAAGGAGTGGAAGGGTGGATTAGCAAGTTCGCGGACGATACGAAGGTAGGTCACGTTGTGGACAGTGCAGAGGGCTGTTCTAGGTTACAAAGGGACATTGATAGAATGCAGAGCTGGGCTGAGAAGTGGCAGATGGAGTTTAACCCTGAAAAGTGTGAGGTGATTCATTTTGGAAGGACAAACTTGAAAGCAGAATACAGGGTTAACGGAAAGATTCTTGGCAGTGTGGAGGAGCAGAGGGATCTTGGGGTTCATGTTCACAGTTCCCTGGGAGCTGCCACCCAGGTGGATAGAGTTGTTAAGAAGGCGTATGGTGTGTTAGCTTTCATTAATAGAGGGATTGAGTTCAAGAGCCGTGAAGTTATGTTCTAGCTATACAAAAGCCTGGTTCGGCCACATCTGGAGTATTGTGTCCAGTTCTGGTCACCTCATTACAGGAAAGATGTGGAAGCGTTGGAAAAGGTGCAGAGGAGATTTACCAGGATGTTGCCTGGAATGGAGAGAAGGTCTTACGAGGAAAGGTTGAGAGCGCTACAGCTTTTCTCTTTAGAACGACGAAGGATGAGAAGTGACTTGATAGAGGTGTACAAAATGATCAGAGGTATCGATAGAGTAGACAGCCAGCGACTTTTTCCTAGGGTGGAGGTAGCTTTTATGAGGGGACATAGTTTTAAAGTGAAAGGAGGTAGATAACGGGGAGACGTCAGAGGTAAGTTCTTTACTCAGAGAGTGGTAGGGGCATGGTATGCATTGCTGGAGAAGGTAGCGGAAAGAGCCTCATTAGGGGCATTTAAGCAGCTATTAGATAGGCATATGGATGATAGTATAAGGTAGCGGTGGAGGTTAAATAGACCTTAGGTTTAGGGTAAAAGTTCGGCACAACATCGTGGGGCGAAGGGCCTGTACTGTGCTGTACTGTTCTATGTTCTATGTTCTAAATACACTCACTGACTTGGCCTCCACAGCCTTTTGTGGCAATGAGTTCCACAGATTCACCACCCTCTGGCTGAATAAATTCTCCTCATCTCAATTTTAAAACATTGTCCTTTCACTCTGAGGCTGTGCCCTCGGGTCCTAGTGTCTCCTACTTGTGGAAACATCTTTTCCACATCCAATCTATCCAGGCCTCAGTATTCTGTAAGTTTCAATAAAGTTTATACAGCACTGAAACAGCACACATGCTGATGAATAAAGTTAGTTTGAGTTACATGAAAATAAATGAAGTGAAAGTACATAACCAGTTGTAAGCTAGACACTAAACAAATAAGTGGTTGTCTTTGTTGCAAAGTGTAGATTAATTTATTAAACCCACCAAATGCTAGGGTTTCCCATCCATTGTTTGAGAGGTTTAACTGTACAAACACACCATTGTGCAAAGACCTCCAAATAATTATATAGCTCAGCATGTCTGCAACTCCTTGAAAGGAGATTAAATAATGATGCACCCACTGACTGGAACTCTCTCCATAACAGCACTGTAAGTGTCCCTGCACCACAAGGATTGCAACAGTTCAAGAAGGCAGCTCATCACCACCTCATCCAGGGTAATTACACATGGATAATAAATGCTGGCTCAGCCAGTGATGCCACATATCACATTAAGAAATACAAAAAAAAAATGAATTAAATTAAAGCCGGCTAAGTTTATTTCTTTGCCTGAAGTTTTCCTTCAATTTGTGTATGAAATGTGTGTGATTTCCCCCGTGTCATAAACTTCTCTAATACTAAAGGTGTACACGTGAAATTAAATGATGTCCCCAGGCTGCAGGGTCAATGTGCTAAAAGTGTAAATTCAGAGAAAATGTTCAATTCCTGCATAAGGAACATCCATCAAGCTTAATTTACTTCTCTAACTTACTTGCGGAAGGGTCACTGGACCTGAAACACTAACTCTGATGTCTCTTCACAGATGCTGCCAGACCTGCTGAGCTTTTCCAGCAACTTCTGTTTTTGTTTCTGATTTACAGCATGTACCATTTGGTTTGTCTCTGGCACCATCCTATTTTTGATTTTTTGAAATTATTAGTTGGATTATAGATCATCCCTTCACTTGCTGGTCAGCTGTTGACACTTTACTCACCCTGTCTGACACAATTGATCACCTGCAAAGACTTGTTATTCAGCCTGTAAACACTCCACTCACACCAGTCACAGGGCAGATGCAGGGAGGATGTTCCTGATGTTGGCTATCTTCTATGTTTCAATGTTTCTATTTGCACTTATCTTTTGACACTCCTAATTACTTGGAATGATCTTTTCATTATTTCTTGACATATAAATTCTGTGCCTGTGTGCTTCCCTCCACCTCACCTGATGAAGGAGCAGTGCTCGGAAAGCTTGTGATTTCAAATAAACCTGTTGGACTGTAACTTGGTGTCATGTGACTTGACTTTGTCCATCCCAGTCCAACACGGGCATCTCATTTGACATCAATATTTTACATTATTTTGGTGCATTATACACTTACTGGTCACTTTCCCAGTATCATAGTCTCGTTCCACTTGCCAGTCGACAAAAGTAACCTCGCCATCCTAGATAGAAATTTCCAAAATGAATCATTAGCGTTTCTAAACAAGACATGGTCAACCTAACAAATTCAATTTGAACGACACCCCAGCCCTTGCTGGCTTCCATTCCATCAACTCATTGATTTTAAAGGCTGATAAATAGCAAACAATGGTCATGTCACACAAATGCCAGGCAATGCCCATCTCCAACAGGAGGGCGAATCTAAACATTGCCTCTTGAATCCCCGGGATGTGATCAGGTGTACCCTAAAACTCTGTGGGAAGCTAGGGAAGTGATTGCTGGGCCCCTTCCTGAGATATTTGTATCATCAATAGCCATAGGTGAGGTGCCAAAAGACTGGAGGTTGGCTAATGTGGCAAGGAAAGGCCAGGGAACTATAGACCGGTGAGCCTGATGTCAGTGGTGGGAAAGTTGTGGAAAGAATCCTGAGGGACAGCATTTACATGTGTTTGGAAAGGCAAGGACTGATTAGGGATGGTCAACATGGCTCTGTGCATGGGAAATCATGTCTCATTAACTTGATTGAGTTTTTTGAAGAGGTAACAAAGATGATTAATGAGGGCAGAGCAGTGGACGTGATCTGTATGGACTTCAGCAGGGCATTTGACAAGGTTCCTCATGGTAGACTGGTTAGCAAGGTTACATCACATGGAATACAGGGAGAACCAGCCATTTGGATACAGAACTGGCTCGAAGGTAGAGACAGAGGGTATTGGTGGAGGGTTGCTTTTCAGACTGGAGGCCTGTGACCAGCAGTATGTCACAAGGATCGGTGCTGCGTCCACTTCTTTTCGTCATTTATATCATAGAATCATAAAGTCCCTACAAATGATGAGGATGTGAAAATAGGAGGTATGGTTAGTAAGTTTGCAGATGACAAAATTGGAAGTGTAGTATACAGCGAAGAAGGTTATCAAACAGGATCTTGATCAGATGGACCAATGGGCCGAGGAGTGGCACATGGAGTTTAATTGAGATAAATGTGAGATGCTGCATTTTGGAAAGGCAAATCAGGGCAGGACTTATACACTTAATGGTAAGGTCCTGGAGAGTGTTGCTGAACAAAGAGACCTTGGAGGGCAGGTTCACAGTTCCTTGAAAGTAGAGTCACAGGTAGACAGGGTTGTGAAGGCAGGGTTTGGTATGCTTGCCTTTATTGGTCAGTGCATTGAGAACAGGAGTTGGAAGGTCATGTTGCAGTCATATATGACATTGGTTGAGCCACTTTTATAATATTGTGTTCAATTCTGATCTCCCTGCTATAGGAAGGATGTTGTGAAACTTGAAAGGGTTCAGAAAAGATTTATAAGGATGTTACCAGGGTGGAGGGTTTGAGCTACAGGGAGAGGCTATATAGAACATAGAACATAGAACATAAAACATAGACCAGTTCAGCACAGTACAGGCCCTTCGGCTCACAATGTTGTGCCAACCTATCATGCTACTCTAAGATCAAACTACACTGCATACCCTACATTTTACTATCATCCATGTGCCTATCCAACAGTCGCTTAAATGTCCCTAATGTATCTGACCCCACTACCACTGCCGGCAGCGCATTCCACGCACCCACCACTTTCTGTGTAAAGAACCTACCTCTGACATCTCCCCTAAACCTTCCTCCAATCACCTTAAAATTATGCCCCCTCATAATAGTCATTTCCGCCCTGGGAATAAGTCTCTGGCTATCCGCTCTATCTATGCCTCTCATCATCTTATACGCCTCTATCAAGTCACTTCTCATCCTTCTTCGCTCCAATGAGAAAAGCCCTACCTCCCTCAACCTTTCCTCATAAGACCTGCCCTCCAGTACAGGCAGCATCCTGGTAAATCTCCCCTGCACTTTCTCTAAAGCTTCCACATCCTTCCTATAATGAGGTGACCAGAACTGAACACAATATTCCAAGTGTGGTCTAACCAGAGTTTTGTAGAGCTGCAGCATAACCTCGTGGCTCTTAAACTCAATTCCCCTGCCAATGAAAGCCAACACACCATACGCTTTCTTAAAACCCTTTCAACTTGGGTGGCAACTTTGAGGGATCTATGGACGTGGGCCCCCAGATCCCTCTGTTCCTCCACATTGCCAAGAATCCTGCCATTAACCCTGTCTTCTCATTCAAATTCGACCTTCCAAAATGAATCACTTCACACTTTTTTCTGGGTTGAATTCCATCTGCCACTTCTTTGCCCAGCTTTGCATCCTGTCAATGTTCCATTGCAACCTACAACAGCCCTCCACACTATCCACAACTCCACCAACCCTTGTTTCATCAGCAAACTTACTAACCCACCCTTCCACTTCCTCATCCAAGTCATTTATAAAGATCACAAAGAGCAGAGATCCCAGAACAGATCCCTGCGGAACACCACTAGTCACCGAGCTCCATCTACTTTCCATCTACTACCATCCTCTGACTTCTATTGGACAGCCAATTCTGTTTCCAGACAGCCAAATTTCCCTGAATCCCATGCCTCCTTACTTTCTGAATGAGCCTACTGTGGTGAATCTTATCAAATGCCTTGCTGAAATCCATATACACCACATCCACTGCTCAAACTTCATCAATGTGTTTTGTCACATCCTCAAAGAATTCAGTAAGGCTTGTGAGGCATGACCTGCCCCTCACAAAGCCATGCTGACTATTTCTAATCAAACTGTGCTTTTCCAAATAATCATAAATACTATCTCTCAGAATCCTCTCCAATAATTTACCCACCACAGAAGTAAGACTGACTGGTCTGTAAATCCCAGGATTATCCCTATTCCCTTTCATGAACAAGGGAATGACATTTGCCACTCTCCAATCATCTGGTACTACTCCAGTGGACAGTGAGGATGCAAAGATCATCGCCAAAGGGACAGCAATCTCTTTCCTCGTTTCCCATAGTAACGTTGGGTATATCCCATCTGGCTCAGGGGACTTATCTATCCTCATGTTTTTCAAAATTTCTAGGACATCCTCCATCCTAACATCAACCTGTTCGAGCATATCAGCCTGTTTCACACTGCCTCACAAACATCATGGTCCCTCTCACTGGTGAATACTGAAGCAAAATATTCATTAAGAACATCCCCTACCTCCTCTGACTCAGCGCACAAGTTCCCTCCACTATTCCTGATTGGCTCCACCCTTACTCTGGCCATCCTCTTGTTCCTCACATAAGTGTAGAACGCCTTGGGGTTTTCCATAATCCTACCCGTCAAGGCTTTTTCATACCCCCTCCTAGCTCTCCTAAGTTCATTCTTCAGTTCCTTCCTGGCTACCTTGTAACCCTCTAGAGTCCTGTCCAAACCTTGCTTCCTCAACCTTAAGCAAGCTTCCTTCTTCCTCTTGACAAATGCTCCACATGTCTTGTTATCCAAGGTTCCTTTACCTTACCATCCCTTCCTTTCCTCAGTGGGACAAACCTATCCAGCACTTGTAGCAAGTGCTCCCTAAACAACCTTCACATTTCTGTCCAGCATTTCCCTGAGAACATCTGTTCCCAATTTATGCTCCACAGTTCTTGCCTAATAACATTGTAATTCCCCCTCCCCCAATTAAATACCTTCCCATACCATCTGTTCCTATTCCTCTCTATGACTACAGTAAAGGTCAGGGAGTTATGGTCACTATCACCGAAATGCTGTCCCACCGAGAGATCTGACACCTGGCCTGGTTCGTTGCCAAGCGCTAAATCCAATATGGCCTCCCCTCTAGTCGGCCTATCTACAAATGAGTCAGAAATCCTTTCTGGACACACCTGACTGCTCCATCGAAACTATTTGCACTTAGGAGGTTCCAGTCAATATTAGGGAAGTTGAAGTCATCCATGACAACAACCTTATTACTTCTGCACCTTGTGTGTGTGTGTGTGTGTGTTTGTGTGTGTGTGTATGTGTGTGTGTGTATGGAACGAGCCGCCAGTGGAAGTGGTGGAGGCTGGTAAAATTACAACATTTAAAAGGTATTTGGACGGGTAGATGATTAGGAAGGGTTTAGAGGGATATGCTGGCAAATAGGACTAGATTTAATTAGGATATTTGGACTGCATGGATGAGTTGGACCAAAGGGTCAGTTTCTGTGCTATACTATATGACTATATGACATTCAATGCTATTACCATCACTGAATCAACATTCTGCAGTTACCATTGACCAGAAACTCAACTGGGCCAGCCACTTCAGTAACATGTCTACAAGAACAGATAAGATTACATCATAACATGTATGGGCAGAAGTAGGCCATTTAGGCCAATGGCTCAGCTCTGCCATTCAATGTGATCATGATTGACTAAGAATTCTGTGGTGAATAATATACCTCCTGACTTCCCAAAGCCTGTCAACCAGCTACAAGTCAGGAGTGTGATGGAATACTCCAAACTTGCGGGGATAGTTGCAGCCTCAACAACACTGAAGAATCTTGACACCATCCAGGACAAAGCAGCCCTCTTGATTGGCACCACATCCACCACCTTCAACATTCACTCCCTTCACCTGCGATACACAGTGTATTGGTGTATACCATCCACAAAAATTCATAGCAGCAACTCACCAAGGCTCCTTCTTGAGCACCTTCCAAAGCTAAGAGCTGTACCACCTAGAAGATCAAGGGCAACACAAGCATGGAAACACTACCCTCTGCACGTTCTGCCACAGGCCATCCTGACTTGGTGCTATATTGCTGTTCCTTCACTCCCTTTTAGACAGTACCTACACCATAAGGACTGCAATGGCCTAAACACACAGCTACATACCACCTTCTCCAGGACAATTAGGGATGAGCAATAAAAACTGGCCTTGCCAATGTGGTCCACGTCCAATCAATGAATGAGAAAATTTTTTTCCTTTAAATTCACCGAAATGGGTGATTTCCCATTTTTCAGTCCAAGTGTGGGGTAAGCTTCATTAAGAGCTGATAGGCAGAGCTTTCGGTGAATTCTTTGGCCGATCCCATTGGCAATTCAAGTTGCCAGGGGCTTCCAGCCAATAAAAAGTGGGCAGTCTCTGGATCTGAAAGATTATTGGTTAAGGTTTACATCTTAGTATAAGGTAGGGGTGGAGGTTAGATAGACCTTATGTTTAGGGTAAAAGTTTGGCACAACATCATGGGCCGAAGGGCCTGTACTGTGCTGTACTGTTCTATGTTCTTGGGGATCCAGAGTCAAGAAAGTAAGTATTTTTTTGTGGGACATGTACAGAAGGATTCAGAGGGGCTGGAGGCAAGAGAAAGAGGGTGGCTTTCACAGGCCTTGCCCGGCATTGGTGACTCTGATTGACCCCAGGGTGACTTCCCTAACACAACAACCAGGTCAACCAGGTTTTCTCGTCACAAAACGAGCCACCTTTCTAAGGTAGACAGGTAATCGGGAAGGTGATGAGTTGAAAACTTTTAATGGCTATTCATTGAACACTTAGGACCTTAACTGGTGCTGGGTTGAGAAATTCCCCATTTGAGGGTTTCCTATCATGCAGTGGTAGTGTCCCCACCTCTAGGCGAGGAGACCCAGGTCCAAATCCCACCTGCTCCATGAGTAGTGTCATAATGACTCTGAAACATCTTGTTTAGAAAATATAAAATGAAAGCCCCCAGTGGACCTTCTCACTCAGCACCTTCTCACTGCTGTTGGTGAACTAATGAGATGGGATGAGTATCCCTCCAGAGCCAACTAACCCATTTATATGTCCTCATCACTGTTTCCTGTCACGTCCAGGGAGGATAAAATTCTTCCCAATGTTTCATGAATGGATAAACAGTACTATTGCTTATCCTTATCACACAAATGTCAGGGCTCTTGTTAGTCTGACTTACCTCAGTACCAATCCACAAGAAAGTGTTGATGTCATCCACAAACGTCAGATCCCTGCTTGAAGGAACATCCATGGCGGCATATTCTGAAGTCTCTCCTTTGGTCTTTGTCAGATTGAATTGGGCCTTGTCTGTAGAAATGGGACAGTAGATCAATGCAAAATTCACTGTATTTAATTTTAACATTAAACGGAATGAAAAAAGTTTCAGAAAAATATTCAAATACCAGGAATGGTTAAAAGGTCTTTGTTGAAAATGTTCAATGCGTTCAGAGAATGCGAACATTTCCACTTGTTTGGGGAGTATAAATAGAAGACGAAGACGATGATAGAAAGGCCAGGAGAAATGTATTTAGCCAGATGATGTGAGGAGAAAGTGGAAATCACCCCCACGCTCTGCCTTCTGGCAGTCAACCAATCCTCTATCCACGCCAGTACCTTGTCCCTAACACCATGGGCTCTTATCTTATTTAGCAGCCTCCTGTGTGGCAACGGCCTTCTGCAAATCCAGATAGATCACGTCCTTTGCTAACTTGCTTGTTATCTCCTCAAAAGAATTCTAACAGATTTGTCAGGCATGACCTCCCACTGATGAAGCCATGCTGACTCAGCCCTGTTTTACCATGCACTTCCAAGTACTCTGTAATCTCATCCTTAATAATGGGCTCTAAAATATTACCAATGACCGAGGTCAGGCTAACCGAACAATAGTCTGCCTCCTCCCTTCCTAAACGGGGGTGATGGCCACTGCACTCACCTCTTCAAATTCTGGTATGCTGCTGGTGTCTTCCTAAGACATCATCGAAGTGCAAATCCTCACAAAACTCTCAGCCAATATTTTCTCCATTTATATAACCATTTCAGTTGATTTACACTTTGCATTTTCTCTATGCCAAATTATCTGTCTGTTTGTGCTGCAGTCCTCCTCTCTCACTTTCTAACCCCCTCTCTCTCCCGCTCCCTCTCTTTGGATTTCTCTGTTAGGAACTCTCACGCTGTCAGGATTTCTCTGTCTCTCTCTCACACAAACACACACACACACAAACACACACACACATACACACACACGATCTCTCTCGGGACTTCTCTCAGGAACTCTCTCTCCCAGGGTCGCTCTCTCATTTTTTCAGTGTTTCTTTTACTAGTTTTCTGAATACTCACCTTTTCCTGTTCTTCTCTGGATCACCTATTGGTTCTTTTGCATTCTTTGACTGATACACTTAAATTCTACATGGAATGGGAGAGGCCATTCAGCCCCTTGAATTTGTTGCGACATTGACTAAGAATGTGGCAGATCAGTGGCTTGATAGCTTCCACACAACTTGCCTCTGTATGCCAAAGCCCTGCCTAGAAGCTCCATGTATAAATACCAACACTCGTGTGTAACCTTCAATATAAGTAATATGAAGTATTACTTCATATTAATACTTTAATTAATTGAATTAAAGCATCTTTAAATAATTGAACTTCAGTCTGTCTCTATTTTCTACATTGTTTAACATAGCAAAAGGAATTTGTACATACAGAGTTGTAGAGCCATACAGCACTGCCTTTTCCAACACCCTGACCAATCACCATTTCTCTGCCTGGCTTGAGAATTACGACTGACAGTTAACTGCCCTTACTCCATGCCAATGAAGACCTAACCAATCACCACCCTCTTCTTGTGCGGTATAAATGATGTCTCTCCTTGCACAAATCTGTTTCTTGCTTCCTCATTCTGATGAATGCAAGACTAAAAGCTTCAGCTTCATGTCTCCCTTTGATAATGTTTAAGCTCTGTGACACCAAGCAATTATTTCACTGTCTCGTCTGTTAACAACTGAGTAGGTTGTAAACCCTGCACAGCTACTGGTATTTTATTTCAAAGACTGACATTGACAATCCTATAAAATAACGCACTGTAGCTGAAACAAACTATCCCATGGTAAATGATAACAAAGTGTAGAGCTGGATGAACACAGCAGGCCAAGCAGCATCAGAGGAGCAGGAAGGCTGACGTTTCGGGCCTAGACCCTTCTTCAGAAA